AGTAAAGAAAAGCAGAATGCAGTCTCAATCTCCGGTTGGCATTTTCCCCTGCACTTTCAGCACAAAGACGAACGAATGTGTCGATCCCTTGTTGCTGCGTCCGATTATGGATTACTTTACATTGAAATTCCGTCAAATTTTCGGTCATTTTCAGTCATTAGATCCTTTTCAGTAATTTTTCAGTCATTTTCAGTCAGTTTTCGGTCATTATTGGTAATTCGGTCAGTTTTGACCGAAAGTCACTGTACGCAAAAATCGAAGTGACAGGACCCTCAGCCATCTGAGGCCTCTTATAAGTTCGTGCATGAGACCATGAAATCCTGCTTAAAGATTGCTGTCCGTGCGTTGACGCAGTTGATGACAACAACAACGGGGGCGGAGCGCTCCCCCCCCCCCCACCAATATTTTCACCGGGAATGAGTCAACACGGCCCTTCATTGTCCCGTCGTACCGCTACGCGCGGTGCGGGTGCGACGCGGTGAGCACGTCGCGTCGTTATTTCAGGCAACGGCAGCTGGAGTGATTGCCCCCCCTCGCGCGCTCGCCACCGCCCACGCGGGGGGCGTCCGAGGTGGCCGCGGTCGCGCCGCGAGGAGGCCTTTACCGGGGGGCATGGCTGACTCGGAAGATCGTTCAAGAGGGGCTCTCCTATGCCTGCCCCATGAGTGCAACAGGGACGGAGCTATACGGGAGGTGTAGGAGAGCCCCTCTTGAACGATCATCTGAATCAGACGACAGGGAGGGCCATACGGTCGCTGGAACGCCGCCACCACACCAGGACGCCGCCGCCGGCCCGCAGGGCACGCACACTCCGGACGCGAGGCACACGCGGCGTGCGTCAGCAGCCGACCGTATTAGCCGCCCTTTGCCGCGCGGATGTGCAGCGGCGCGCCTAATGTACGCGACTTGATTAGTATTGGCGGGAGTCGAGTCCGGCGGTGGCGGAGGCTGCGCAGGTCGGGGGCTCTGTTCTGTTTTGGACCGCCATAGCCAGAGAGGCAGAGAGAGGGCCGGCTATAAAAAGGGCCCGCGCCACCCGCACCTCACACATCGACAGCCGACATGCGCGCGCTGACGTGGGCCTGGTGCGCCGCGACGGCCGCCGTGCTCCTGCACGCCGCCGAGTACGAGTTCGACAACGCGTTCTACAGTGAGTGCAGGCCGTGCAGGCAGGCAGGTTGAGCCGCGCCGCCAGCGGAGCGCGAAGTGGTGGGGCTGTCCATACAACGTCTCTCTCTCCCTCTGGCGCAGATCAGCAGCTCCTGGACCAGGTGGACGACGCCCTCCGGCCGTGGCGCAGCGGCGACGGCGGTGCCGGCCTGGAGCAGGGCCGTGACCAGGGCGGACGCAGCCGACCCCGCTTCCGCCACAAGGTACGTCAGCAGCGTCCACAGCCTCTGTGGTGGGTGGTCCAGTCCAGGAGGCGCATCTGCGCAGGGTGTTTCATGCGCTGTGCTACACTCCAGGGCGGCGTCCTGGTGGCGCGCTGGTTCCCGTCGCGGCGCGGGGAGCCCGCCCAGTACCAGTGGAGCTGGGAGGTGCCGCCGGGCGTCAACCAGACGGCTAAGCTGTGGTGGCGTCGCTACTACCCCTACAACTACTACAACCGGCGCTACTGCCGCTACGGCTACTGCCGACGTTATCGGGGCCGCGGCGGCTACGGCTACGGTTACCGGCGGCGGGGTTACGGCGGCTACGGCGGCTACGGCTACCGAGGAAGAGGTTACGGCTACGGCGGCGGTGGCTATGGCGGCTATGGCGGCGGCTACGGCGGCGGCTCCGGCGGCTCCGGCGGCTATGGAAACGGGTAAACACTGCAGTCGGGGGGCGCATCGTCGCTGCGGTGACCACGGCGTACTTACTTCTGGCGTCCGGCCCTGTAGGTACGGGAGGATGGGCTCCGCCTTCGACCGCATGGTGCTCGCCGACGACGACGCGACCAAGACGACCACGGACAGGCCCGCCTCCAGCTCGACGGCCGCGCACCACCAGGAGGCACCACCGCAGGACAACGACCCGAACGCGGATGTCGAGGACGTCAGCGTCAACAAGGACATCGCCCAGCTGCCAGAGGCCACCGATGAGCAGCTGGACGGCGTGGACGCGCACCCGGGGCACATCCCCTTCCAAGAGCAGGTGCACAGCAGAGACGCCGGCGAGGGACGTCGTCAAGGCTAAAGGGCCAAGGCTTTCCGTGTAGTGCATTTAAAAACCCTTTTCTCGTTGTTTCAGGTGTGCTGCGGCCGTCCCGTGGAGGCCACTTTGCTGCGACAGGACGCCCTGCGAGAGCAGTGCTACCTGCAGGTGTTCAACGAAACAGTCCACTCGCGCTTAGGTAGGTGATGGCGGTGACGATGGGGCGCCGGGTGCGTATGCAACCCATCCGCCGCGAAACTGACGAGCCCAGAGGTGATGGTAAACTTGGTAAACCGCGCCAGATTGCAGATTGTGTAGCCACTGCACCGCAAACATGCGTGTGAGAGGGTTGCCTGCCTAGGCCTACGTTAGGCGCCGGAGACTGATGGCAAACGAACCAGTCCGCAAGCCTGGTGCGGTAACCGAATAGGGCTACAGTGTTTTAGCTCTGTTTTAAGCCATCATGCTTATGATTTTCTCAACAGAGGAAGGGCAGAACTGGGACCACTTCAGCTGTGTCGCCGTCAATGAAATAAAGGAGAGTATACGAGTAAGTATGGAACTACTTCAGTTTAGGTTCCTTTTTGGAAGGCTATAAGTTTTCATCTATTACTTTTTTTTCATCGTGTTTCAGTGCGTTCATCAGTGCATATGGAAACTAAGAGAAACGGTGCGTTACACTGTAATTCACACGGACAGATAAAGATAATAGGTATAATCGCATTCTTTTCATCCATTCCCTTTTTTTCCTTTGACAATACAGTTCGACGAGGATGATGAGCAGGTAGTCTCGGTCAGCAAACTTCGAGGTTTCTTTCGTGACACCGAGTCGCAGCGATGGCGGGCGGAGCTGATGGACAGTGCCGCCGTGAAGTGCATGGCTGAGTACCAGAGTAAGTGCAAGCGTGGGGCTCGACTGAAGAGCCTCGGAGTGGCTCGACGGTCGCTTCGGGTGTGTCTCTTTGGTTTCTGACCGCTCTCTACTCCACAGCGGAGAGTCGGGGGTCCTCGGAGACCAGCCGGTGCCCAGGCGCCCACCTTGATCTCAGCTATTGTCTTTGGGAGGAGCTACAGGCGGTATGTGGT